TTGCTTAATCTCCTTTATGTGTCAAAGAGATTGACTCAGGGTACTCCCCACACTAATCCTACCTCATTCCCATCACAAAGACAGCCCATTCCCAAATGGGATTGTAGCCACAGGGGAGAGGTTAGGATTTACACCACAGTTTTGGAGGAACACAATTTGGTCTATAACAATATTTTTCCATATACAGAGTACTTTACAGAGGGATTACCTTAAAGGATACTATCAAAGAAACCCTTCCCTGGCTCTTCACAGAAAGTTGATTAACCTTGGTCTAAACCATAGTGGGAAAGGGCTGCTCATTTTCCCAATGAGTCAGTTGGTCAGTGAATTTTTACAGGTGGGACAGTGGTGGTTCGTTGATAGAATTACCTTCCTTGTGGGGACTTGGCATTGATTCTGGCCAGTGTACCTCATGTAGCCAGCCCCTTTGTCAGCAGAGGTTTGCATGTTGCTGGGAGATGTTGAACAGGTTTTGTTATAGGACCAAACGCCCGGTGCGCAGTCAGGCCAAAACAGTTTACACACCGAGATTGAGAGGAGAGAAAATTATTTATTGCAAAGCGACAATGCAAGGAGTAGGGGTAGTTCAGTACCCAGATCTGACTCCCGGAGATGTCATCGGAACACAGTTTTTGTGGGTGTCAGGAAAGGGGGTTGTGCATATTCACAAAAGGTTGAGGAATTTGGGTCGTAAACTTGAGCTGGAGGATGAGTCATAGCAGGTTCCTGTCATCAGCTGATAGGGGCTTGGGCAGAAGGGAGAGGGTCATCATTAACTTTTGTTCCTTTCTGCCCTATTGTGCATGTCCGTGAGCCACGGCCAGAGTTGATTTAAGTTGTTTCTGAGGCACTTTTAGCAAGTTTATCACCTGCAGGGAAAAATGTTTTCCTTCCGTTCAGTTCTTTAAGGAACTGAATACTCATCCACCTGGGGTGGGAAAATGTTGTTGTTGTTGTGTGCCGTGGAGTCGGACCCGACTCATAGCGACCCCTCCTTGGGTTTCTAGGGCAGTATCACTACGGAAATAGATTGCCCCATCTTCCTTCCGAGGAGTGGCTAGTGGGTTTGAACCACCAGCCTTCTGGCTAGCAGTCAAGTGCCTTAGGCACTATGCCACCAGAGCTGCCGGGGTGGGAAAATAGTTGGGGGTAATTTAGTTTACTTATCTATTCCCATCCGAGTACCAGGGTGGGGGAAATAGTTTTTACTTTACTTGGTGTCAGTTTCAGCAGAGCTTCCAGACTAAGATGCACTGGGAGGAAAGGCCTGGTGGTCGGCTTCTGAAAAGGAGGCAGTGGGACGCCTGTGGAGGACAAAGGCCTGGTGTGCGGCCGATCGTGGGAGTGGCACAGGACCTGGCACTGTGTCACTGCATTGTGCATGGGGCCGTCATGCTTTGGGGGCCCACCTCCATGGTAGTCAACAACAAGAGCAACAACTGTGCCCCGTTAGAAGGGGATTATGATCCCATGAGAATTCATCTTACTGCAGCGTACAAGAGCATCTGAATGGAAGGATGCCGTTGAACCCATATGGCATGTTGACACACCCTGCTGTGACTGGACGGCAGCCACTGGGGCACAGCGCTGAGGCTGTGTCCTCAAACACCAGTGCTGTCACAAGGTGGACACGGGGCTGGCCTGGGGGTTCTAGTGCTGCCCTTGTCACCAATGGTATGTGTGACCTCCCAAGCAGATCTTACAGTCTTCTTGTCGCCTTCTTCACTGTAAAATGTAGATTGGACCAACTGACTCTGTGCCCTGCAAGTGTTGGCCTTTGTTCCCCTCTGACCATTGTACCGCCTCCGCAGGGTGTGACCTACTGTGGAGAGAGTTCAGCAAGCAGCCTGACAATGGCCAATGTGCCCTGGCACGAGGAGGTGGTGCGCTTTGTCCATGAATTGGTGGACCTCCTCCCCGACTATGGCGTCGCTTGTGAACACGAGCACTCCAATTGCCTCCTGATAGCGCACAAAAAGGTAACGCGTTCTCCCACACGTCCCCCTGTGGCCGTGTTTTCACTGCTCCTCTGTCTCTCTCCGCTTTGTCTCCCCCGCACCCCGCACCTCGCACCTCGTCATAGTGCAGATCTGCTTGTTGCTGCCTTTCCTGAACAAACACTGAGGAAGTCCTGACTTCAGGCTGCCGGGCTCACAGCTTGCTTTTCTGTGTGAAACCTTTTTGCACTCTCACCTAGGCATCTTGAAGTGCTTTCTGGTTTGTCATTTTTACGGTAGGTGCATGCTAAAACAAAAACAAAATGCCCTTGTAATCACCTCTCGTCCTTTCTGTGAGTGATGGGAAAGTTAAAACGTTCAACAACAACCCCCCCCCCCCCAGTGGCTCCAGCTGTCGGAAGAAATACTGGTACTGTCATTGGCAATCTCGGCATCTGGAAGATTTTTGTCTGGGATTTTGGTTTGTGATTATTTTCATTTCTCTCCTCTAATGCTTTTCATTAGAACAAGAACCCAGATCTAGAGTATTTCTTTAGTAAATAATGCCTAGCAAAGGAAAGATTCAGTTCATGTAGAGGCAGGTCATTCAAGTAAAAGAACCCTGATTAGAACACCAGTGTTAGAGGAGCTTCATGATATAATGGTTTTCCACCTTCATGGAGACACTTATAAGTAAGATAATGCCAGCTGGGCATTCTTGCGTGTCGGGGTAGGCTGAGGGCTGTGGGGCCTGGCTGACGGGCCCGGAGGGGTTTATTATACTAGCCTGCCTTGTTTTCTATTACCATTCCCCATTAAAAAGAACTTTGTAAGAATGTGGGCAGAGTTGAGCTTGGAAACACTGTGCTCAGTGAAAGAAGCCGTACACACAGGGTACTTTCCACAGTCCCTGTGTTGTTGTTGGTGTTCAGTGCCTTCGAGTTGGTTCCGACTCATCGTGATCCTGTGTGCAACAGAATGAAATGCTCCTTGGTCCTGCCCCGTCCTCACAGTCATTGCTGTGTTGGAGCCCATTGTCACAGCCACTGTGTCAATCCATGTCATTGAGGGTCTTCCTCTTTCTCTCTGACCCTCTACTTTACCACCACGCATGATGTCCTTTTCTAGGTATTGGTCCCTCCTGATAACGTGTCCATAGTACGTGAGATGAAATCTTACCCTCCTTGGTTCTAAACAGCATTCTGGCAGTACTTCCAAGACAGGTTTGTTCATTTTTTGGCGGTTCATGGTATATTCAGTATTCTTTGTCAACACCATAATTCAGACATAGCAATTCTTCTTTGGTCTTCTTTATTTATTGTTCAGCTTTTGCATGCATATGAGGCAGTTGAAAATACTGTGATGTGGGTCAGGTGCACCTTAGTCCTCACAGTGACATTTTTGCTTTTCAACACTTTAAAGAAGTCTTTTACAGCATATTTGCCCAATGCAGTAGGTTGTTTGATTTCCATGGGCATTGATTGTGGATCCAAGTAAAATGAAATGCCTGACAGCTTCATTCTTTTCTCCATTTTTCATGATTTTGCTTATTGGTCCATAGACCTTCTCTTTTACTGTCATCAGAGAATAAATCTTCAGTCTTCTGTTGGGTGGGCAGACCCTCAGCTCTGTGTGTGTGTGTGTGTGTGTGTGTGTGGTCAGTACAGGGGGCTCAAGAACTTGAGATTAACAGTGCCTTAAGCAGAAGATCAGCCTTTCTTTGTAGGGGGGAGGTTGGTACCTTCCTAACCCCCATTTCCAGGGGTGATGGGTGCCATCTGTTTCTGAGCCTTTGGAGGAATTTTGAAGCATAAATTGGGTTGGAACTTGGATTTCCCTATTTGCTAGCTTAGGATTCTACTCTCTTTAGCTTCCAAAATTATGATGGAGTTTTCTCCTTTCCTGATCTTTGTCTTTATAGGTTATGTGTCTTTTAGAACTGCCTTTACGGTCATTACACTGGCATTTCCAGAGGAAGTGAAAGGGCATGCACATGTTTAAACCACCATCTTTAATAGACTCTTTTTAGACATTTGCAATAGCAAAGAATCTGTGTTCTGTTCAGTGGTGTTTTCCCTGTGAGAAGGATGAGAAAGTAGTGAGAATGTGCCCCTTTGCACAGCAGCGTCCAAAATGGGTGGAGCCCAAATGGTTGGCTCATCTGGCCAGTGAGGCCGTAAATCTTACCAGCCTGGCGTTGTTTAGTCAGTGCTGTACCTCCTTGTAGTGTATTCTTGAGGTTATCTACGACCCTTTGAGTTTTTTTATCATTCTGCATGAATTTGCCTCCTCTCTTATTACTCTTGAATTTTAGAATTCTTGAAGCATGGTGACCTCATGCCTCAGGATGTTGTTGTTGTTGTTGTTACGTGCCGTCGAGTCAAACCTGACTCATAGCGACCCCTCCTTGGGTTTCCGAGGCAGTATCACTACGGAAGTAGGATTGCCCAACCTTCCTTCCGAGGAGTGGCTGGTGGGTTTGAACCGCCAGCCGTCTGGTTAGCAGGCAAGTGTCTTAGCCACTATGCTACCAGAGCTCCCATGCCTCAGGATACTTAACCTCAAATTTTGTGATTTGGGCCGTTGGTTCTCTGTTGATGCCGATCTGTTTTTCAGCACGATCTGTGTGTCAGTCATACTAAATTTTGCCCTTTTACCTTGTATTTGACTTTTGTAGAGCCGTTATTGGGTATGGTTCCTTTCAGAGTGTCTTGATTGAAGCCTGCATCAGCTCTGTCCTAGGGGTCTGATGGCTCAGCGTTGACGTAAGAATAACCTGCCTTGTGCTACATCTACCTGCTCTTCAGCTTGTTTACCTAGACGTTGGGAATCAGAGTCGCCACTTTAGATTTCAGCCTACAGCTGTCATGTCTGTGCAATTAATTTGTTCCATCTTAAGCCAGTCAGAGAAAACAGGGTCTTTAAGAACAGTAATTTTCACACTGCATTAGGAATCAGGAAATCAATATAGTGGGTTGCAGCCAGCATTTCTAAAATGAAAATTGCTCACAGTTTTGTGAAAATGTTGTAGGTATACCAGGCCGAGATAGAAGTGTACATCTTTACTGTAGGTCATGGTAAAAGAGATTAAGTCCGTTGCTCTAGTCTAAGCTAACCCTTGGTCTATCTCAGCATATCCCTGGCAAGTGATTATTGTTGAGGGTTTGAGCAGTAAGGAAGACCAGCATTATGCACTCTGAGACCTGGAAACCTAAACCCAAAAGGGGAAAGGATAGGAACGGGAGAATATGCTTACTGTTGCACTCAGTAAGCAAAGCACAGGGCCCCCAAGGGGACCCTTCTCGTTGGGAGTTTGGGAGTTGCTACTCGGTGAGGAGGGAGGGTTGTGATTTATCTATCACACCTTTCCCCAGGGTGCCTGGGACATAGCCTCCTCACTGCACATGCCAGGTTGTATTGTAATTACTTTTTAAATGCCTGTGATTGGACTGAATCCACTGTTGGCATTCCATCATTGTTGATAAGCGAGAGGAATAGAAGGAAGGAGTTATTATTGGTCCCCATTTACTTACATGTACATTAATGAGCATGTCATGAGCATTTGTGACTTAATTACGAACATACTGTGAAAACAGTCCACTCATGTTCTGTGGAGCCGATAGCAGCAACCATTCCATCGCGTCTCTCAGGATGTCAGTTTCTTTTATCACATGGTCTTCCAGCTTTGTTAAGAGGTAAATGGGAAATGGCTCTGCCCTTGCCTGCCCTAAACAATGTCATTAATGACAGTGAGTCAGATGGGATGGGACTTGGGAGCAGTTACAATAGACTGCTGGTGGCCAGCGTCAGAGTCAGTCAGATCCCATGGCAGGAGAACTGCATAGTCTAAAGTGTTCGGGAAGATGTCCCAGAGCATAGGACATTGACCAGGAGACCCGGGGCATAAGTAGGTGCTGATGAGACAGAGAGAGCAGTAGGGGAGCACGAAGAAGGGGAGCGGCTCTCCAGGAGCATCTGGGCACAGATTTGATGTTCTGACTACGGTTGTGGAACAGGCATTCTAGTCCACTGTAGACGCGGTCATCTCAGGCAGTCTGTAGAAATTGCATGCAGCCAAAACTGGAACCAGAAGATCAATCCATTTAGAAGACTGTCGTGGAGTCCCAGAAACGAAGGCTTTTTAGGGTGTAGGGGCAGATGTGCTGCACAGGAACGATTGGTGGGGCCTGGAGGTGTTGTGGATGTGAGGGGTCAGGGACAGGGAGAGTCACCTTTGACTCTGCACATTTGAAGCACATGGCCTGGAGATGCCAGTGACTTCTCTCAGCATCATCGAAGCCCTCAGGGGGGCAGTCTTTGCCAGGAAAGTGATGGCGAGATAAGGATTTTGCATCTTGGATTATAGAGGGCCTTCAGGTACCATTTCAAAGAATATTCTTATTAGAAGAAGACTTAACCATAATTGGTGATGAAACTAAGTTTTCCTATTTATTTGCCATTTCCCCCTAGAAAGCTCTTAGCTGTGGGGGAGAAAATCTAATACCATTGAAAGATGGCATTTTTAATGTTCTAAATCCTGGAACTTACATATTTTCAATATTTTTCTTGGCTGGAACATGAAATTATTACTTGATTCTGATAGAGTGAATCAAGGTTTTTTTAAAAGACATAACAAAAAGAATTGTCTGTTTATAAATCAAGTGTCAGTGTATTAATTATGCATGTACAAAAATGAATGCCAAACAGATACTTTGAATTCAAAACCTTCACAGTTCCCATCTAGAGAGATCAATAAAGAAAGACAGGACTGGAACAATGCTCTGTGAACTGACTAGACCCAACAGACATATATAGAACACTTCACCCAGCAGCAGCACAGTGCACGTTCTTCACCGCTGTGTAGTAACAGAAGGAGACCTGGAAAGTGCACACACGTGCAGAAATTGAGCAGGACACTCTTAAGCAACCAACGGGTCAAGAGAGAAATCAGAAAATATGTAGAGCTGGATAAAATGAAAGCACAACATAATCAAACGTAGGGGATGCAGAGAAGGAAGTGCTTGAAGGAAATTTATCATGTTAAGTGCCTGCATTAAAAAAGAACTATGGTTTCATTGACATCCCAATTAATTGGCCTAATAACGTTTGCAAGTGGCCATCCAAGGCATCATGATTGGCCACTCTTCACCTGGAGCAACAGAGAAAGGAGAATCAGGAATAATTTGGAATGTGTGGCCAGTTGCCTGGATGCAGCTGCTCTTCTGCCCTGAGAATCAGAACTGAATGGTGCCTGGCCACCATCACTGAACATTTTAGATCAAAGATTCCAGAAAATAATCTAATCAGAAGGGGGCAAATGCAGAACAGAATTTCAAATTCTTACACATTCTAGACTTCCTGGAGTCATGGAGGTTAGATGAACCCCTGAAGCTGTTGCCCTGAGATAATCTTTAAACCTTAAACCAGAAATCTTTCCTGAAGTCTTGAAACTGTGTAATAGTTTGGCTTAACTAGTGAAAAAGGTCTGCCTTGAGCATTGGGTTCTTTTATGAACTGTCTCTATGGGATCAGAGTGACAGCAGCAACTCATAAGATTAGAGAGTGAGTTTATCGACCCGATGGCAGCGAGTCTGGTTTGGCTGAGTTTATGTTAATGAAAGAGGAGCAACTCAGAAAAGAAGGATGAGGATGAGGATGGTTGCACAACTCGAAGAATGTAGTCAGTGTCACTAAATTGTGAGCATAAAAAATGTTGAATTGGTATATGTTTTCCTGTGTATTCTCAACCACAACTGCGAAATAAATAAAATTTAGGGGGGAAGAACTGTCAGAAAGTGTTTTTGAAAAAGGAAAAAAACAAAAAGATGAAGAAAGGTCTCAAATCAGTAACCTAACTTTTCAACGTGAGGAATTAGAAAAGAGCACCAAGGCCAAAGACGTCAGAGGGAAGGAAATAAAGATAAGAACAGAAGTAAGTGAATGGAAAATAGAAAAACAGTAGAATCAATGAAACCGGAAATTGATTTTTTAAAAAGGTGAATGACATCAACGAACCTTGAGCCAGACTCACAAAGAAAAAGAGAAGAAGCAAATATCTAATATTAGAATTGAAAGAGGAGACATTATAATGAGCCCTACAGAAATAAAAAGTAGATAAGAGAATACCATGAACATTTTGTACACTAGCAAATTATGTAACTGGGATTAAATGACCAAATTGTTAGAGACACATAAACTTCCTATATAGACTCAAGAAGAAAGAATAGATTTCAACAAACTAAACAAGTGAAAACATTGAATCAATAATCAAAAATTTATGAACAAAGAAAGGTCCAGACCAGAAAGCTTCATAGGACCAAACGTTTATAGGAGTGATTATCAAGAGTGTGTGGGAGGGAAGGGTTGGGGGAGTCACTGCTTAGGGGAGCATGGAATTTCTGTTAACAATGGGGGACAGTTTGGGAAGGGTAGTGGTAGTTGTTGCACGTGATGAATGTAGTCAATGTCACTGAATTTGTACGTGTAAAAATTGTTGGATTGGCAAATGTTTTGTAATATATCTATTTATCCTCCCAAAAAACCTCAAAAAAGCTAAACAAAACAAAGTCCTTTAAATTTTTGTTAATCAGAGTCTCTTCTTTCCTGGTCACTGTTCTGCAGTGACTTTTGAGAAGCAGTCTTCTTGAGAGAGTACAAATTCGGTTATTCCCCTTTGGAGTTCTTAGTCAGGCTTTGACTCATGAGAAATATATCCACACTTGACTGACAAGGCTATTTGAAGTCATTTAGGTAGCGTTTCTGAATGAGAAGTCATTGACTAAAGGGTCACCCAAAACGCAAGCAACATTTAGTGATGAAGAGGACTTTTTCTTCCACTAGGTGCAGCAAACACAACTGTGAAAATTCATCCTGGGTAGAGAGTGGTCATCACAGGAATTAAAACTAGCTCAGCCATGATACCAGCACATGATAATGCCCCCAAATTTAACCCTCTGTATCTGATACAAAGGAGCCCTGAAGCCCCAGTGGTTAAGGGCTTACTTGTTAACTGGAAGGTCAGCAGTCCGTACCCACCGTCTGCTCTGCTGGAGAAATACGCGGCAGTCTGCTTCCGTATAAAGATTTACAACCTCGGTCACCCTATGGGGCACTTCTACCCTGTTCTTACAGGGTCGCCGTGAATTGGAATCAACTAGTTGGAATCAACTAGATGGCCGTGGGTTTTGAGTACCTGATACTGCTCAAGATAAACTTGACTCCGGTTTCAGGAAGAATTCTTCATTCAGCAGTTGGGTCTTCCAGGTTTGGTGTGGCATTGGTCCCCAGGGGAAAAGCTAGTCTCCTTTGCCTGTCCTACACACTGCTTTGATCTGGAACCATATGTGGAGGAGGAAAGAGTGTTGTTTAATGTAATAGAAAACATCAGGCTCATTTTTGATTTTTTGGTGTGTGTTTGATCTTTTTTTATGGGTTTTTTTGGTGCTGTTAAGACCTTTTACTTCTGACCTGACCTTTTTTTCTTGTTCTCTCCAGTTTAAGATTGAGAGAGAATGGTGGACGTGGATCGATTATAACCGCTTTCAGGAGCTCATCCAAGAATACGAGAATAGCGGTGGGTCAAAGACTTTCAGCGCGAAGGATTATATGGCCAGAACTCCTCGGTGGGCATTATTCGGTGCCCATGAAAGAGGCTTTGATCCCAAGGACACAAGATATCAGAGAAAGAACAGATCAAAGGATATTTCTGGATGTTGAGATGATCTGAGTCCAGGGTGCTGAAGGACAAAAGCTGGATGCCCCAGGAGGTTCTTGGATTCCCATGGTTTTTCCAAGGACAAATGACACAAATTGTATTTCATATAGTGAAGATGCTAAGGTAAAACATGGAGACTCAAATCCTGCCTGGAGTGGGGTTTCTGAAAGAACATTTCTCTTTTCGTGTCTGGGACTCAGCCTTGGGATTTCTTTGCAGAGCTCACTCCCTTTCCTGATTTTCTGAGAGGAAAATCCTGTTTCTTGGGGGGCGTGGAGGGTGATGGTGGGGAGAGTGCACCATCATTATTAGAATTTAACTGATAGTTTTGAGTGATGATTGGTAACCTCCCTAGGATGCCGTTCATGCGAGTATGACACAGGGAATGGTTGTCCCACCTCCTTCTCTTACCAGGCCAGCGGCTTTTGGTGGAGCAGCCATTTTGAATTGCACTACCTGTTGCTTCTTTTAAGATAAGCTCTCAGTCCCTTTCTCATATCTTAACATGACATCTCTTGAACACAGTTTCGGTTGTCAGTGTTTTAAGAATACTGAATCAGCTACTTTCAGATTTACTCATGCCCACCCATTGGGAAGTTGAATTGAACCTAAGCTGCCTCAGAGCTCATTCCACTCCCATCCTGACCACTATGGAAGGTCACACATGGCTTGGATTAGAGTGAACTCTTTGTTCTCTGAGAGGAGTTACCACATGATAGCATTGGGTAATTGGTCTTGCCAAAACTTTGAAACACTGAGTATAATTCCCTTGTTGTTAGAAACCACCGTTCCAGCCTCTCTTCCCTGCACATGGCGGTCTACACCTTCTTTCACTCGGCTAGCTCTGGATGCTACAACCAGTCTGTTCTTGAAGGTTCAGGTGCTTTTCGAAGTGAAAACATTATCAAATGCTCAATGGTTCTTTCTCTGAAAGTTGTCACAAAGATTTTTACATTCTTTTATCCTAAAAATTAAATGAATAAAATCATCTTTTGTAAAGACTTGGAGCACTCATTTTCTTCTGGCTGTTTATTTTAAACATGCTTCTAGTTCTGTGGTTCTCGGCCCTGTCAGGCCCACTTCCTGCTCGTACGTCAGCTATTTAATAACTCCCTCTATTCCATGCGGAAATACAATCCATAGATGAGACAGTCTCCCCACCTCCATTGAAAGCGGGACACTGTACTAACTTGTACTTGGTGAAGTCAAAATGACAATTGACATATTTCAACAAATGGATGCAACACTGGAAGCACTCACTCCTTTATGCCAAGAAATTTGGAAGACAGCTACCTAGCCAACCGACTGAAAGTTGTGTGCCCGTTCCAAAGAAAGGTGATCCAACAGAATGTGGAAATCATTGAACAATGTCAATACCACATGCATGTAAAATTTTACTGCAGGTAATTCAAAAATGGTTGTAGCAGTATTGACAAGGAACTGCCAGAAATTCAAGCCAGATTCAGAAGAGGGCATGGAACAAGGGACGTCATTGCTGATATCAGATAGGTCTTGGCTGAAAACAGAGAATAACAGAAAGACTTTTACATGTGTTGTATTGACTATGCAAAGGCATTTGACTGTGTGGATCATAAGAAGTAATGGGTACCATAGAGAAGAATGAGAATTCCAGAACACTTAATTGTGCTCATGAGGAATCTGTACACAGACCAAGAGGCAGTCATTTGAACGGAACAAGGGGGTTTTACATGGTTTAAAATGAAGCGGGGTGTTCGTCAAGGCTGTACCCTTTCACCATACTTATTCAGCCTGCATACTGAGCAGATAATCTGAGAAGCTGAACTATATGAAGAAGAAAGCGGCATCAGGATTGGAGGGAGACTGGTTAACAACCTGCGATATGCAGATGGTACAACCTTGCTTGCTGAGAGCAAAGACTACAGCCTTTAGTGTTGATTACACCTCAATGTAAAATAGAAATCCTCAAAACTGGACCAATAAGCAACATCCTGATAAACGGAGAAAAGGTGGAAGTTGTCGAGGGTTTCATTTTACTCTGAAGCCACAACCCAAAAATCACATGTTGTATTGCATTGGGCAAATCTGCTACATAAAACCCCTTTAAAGTTTTACAAAGCAAAGGTGCACTTTCCTCAGGCCATGGAATTTTCAGGTGCCTCACATGCGTGGGAAAGCTGGATAATGAATAAGGAATGCAGAATAAGAACTGATACATTTGAACTACGGTGTTGGCAAAGAATATTGAACATACCACAGACTACAAGAAGAACAAACTAATCTGTCTTGGAAGAAGTACAGCCAGAATGCTGTTTGGAACTGAAGATGGCTTGACTTTGTCTCACGTACATTTGTCATCTATCAGAAGGGACCAGTCCTGGGAGAAAGACATCATGCTTGGCAAAGCAGAGAATCAGCGAAGAAAGAGGAAGTCCCTCAGTGAGATGGACACGGTGGCAGCAGCAGTGCGCTCAGACACAGCAGTGGTTGTGAGGACGGAGCAGGACCGGGCAGTGTTCCGTTCTGTTGTGCGCAGGGTCACTATGAGTGGGAACTGACTTGATGGCACCTAACAACAACAGTGGTGATTTCAGCGGCAAGTGAAAGAAAAGCAGAAATATAATTCTCACCATTATGATGTTTGTCAGTGTCAAAGGCACGTTCATGAAAGCTTTACACAGATCAATGTTAGCATAAAGCACGCTGTGCTAAGTGTTAAGGGACAGTCTCAGTGAGAGTGTGCACCTGGAAAGCTTGCCTTTTGGGAATTTTAGAGCGGCCAGGGCAGAAGGCAGCTGGAGTGTTTCAGGCAGAGGCCCCAGCTAATGCACAGGCCTCGTGGCTCAGCAGGCTCCTGCGATACATTTCAGTAGCTGTAAGAAGGCAAGGGTGGACAGAGCCGACGGATGACGCAGATGTAGGAAGCAGCCAGGCCATGCAAGGAAGCCAGGAGACATACTCAGGAGACGTAGGCCAGGCCTAAGAGCAATTATGCAAAGGAGCAATATGATTAGATTTGCATTTTAATAAGGTCCCTCTGGCTGCAGGTTGCAAAATGGAGAGACCAAAACACAAGGAGATGAGTTGGTAGGTGTAGAACAGGCGGGAGGAGGTGGCATTGTGCTGTGCACAGCCATCCGTGTGGCCCAGTGATTGGGCTAGAACTGGTGGATGGATTTGGGAGATCCAAGGAATCTTAGGAATTTGGCCCACTGGCTGTATGGAGTGGGTGAGGTGAAAGGTCAAAGACAACTCCTGGGCCTCTGGTTGAGAACAGGAGGAAGGATACTGTGGCTTCAGGCTGTTCACACTGGAAGGGAACCTGGTTCAGGGAAGCACTTTAGTTCATTTGTGGACATGGAGGCTTCGAGAGGATGGCTGAGTTGGCAATCATATAGACAGTTCTGGAGAGGGTGGAGGGAGAGAGAAACGTGAGAGACATCGTGGTGGATATCGTCACTGAAGCCTCAAAAAAGAATGAGATCAGCTCAAGAGGGTGTGCAATGAGGAGAGACTGCACCTTCAGGAGCACCAACGGTGCTATGAGTGGATGACGGGATAGCACCTTTGGGTGGGGGTCATTGATCTGACCCACACTGTCAGTGGCGTGCTGGTGGCCATTGGAAACATTCTGAAGGACTTTGTAATGACAGGAGATGCCTATGACCTAATGCAAAGGTTACAATAGAGTACAAAATCACATTTAGCATCATCTTAGTTATGTAAGCGGGTTATCAGAGGAGTCCCTGGGTGGCACAAACGGTGGCTCACTTGAGCTGAAAGGCTGGCCCTTGGACCCCACCCAGAAGCACTTTGGAAGATGGAGCTGGCGATGTGTTTCCTCAAGGTCACAGCCTAGAAAACCCCGGGGAGCAGTTCTACGGCGCACACGGACAGGTTCCCCATGAGCTGGAGTCGGTGTGACAATAGCTAACAACAAAGACAGCCTATGAATAAAGAAACGTGAATGAATATTGTTATAATCAGAACAAAACAGGAGAAGGATGAGGAGGTGTGCTTTCTGCTGCATTGTGGAGAAAGCCTATTTTCCTTAAATAAGATCCTGCAACTGAAATTCAGCCTAAAGTTGGCATTGAAATGTATCCACAGCCGCCTGTCCTGTCAGCAGAGAGATGGTTTAATCTTCCTTGTTGTTGATTTCTGAGTAGGCCAGGCTGTTTTTCTCATTTTTTATTTGTATATAAATTGGCCAGCTCTTCCCGGGGCACTGTTGATGTAATGTGAGTTGGCCGGGACTAATTTTGTGGGCCATTAGCCTGCTTAGTGCTTCTGTTCTTTACCGATTTCATTTCTTTGCTAATAATAAAACATCTTAGCTTTTGTGACTAGGCTTTAAAGATGTTTGGTGTAGAGTCGTCAACTCATTGCATTTTCTGGAGGAAAAACACCCTCCTATTTGGAAGGAGGCCCCAGTAGCACAGATGGTTAATGCTGAAGGCTCAGGTCCACCCAAAGGTTCCCCTGATGAAAGACCTGCTGATCTGCTTCCCAAGATCAGCCCTTGAGACCTTGGAGCACCGTTCTACTCTGAGATGCCTGGGGTCCACTTGAGTTGGTACTGACCCAATGGCAGCAGTTTGTGTGTGTGTGTGTGTGTGTGTGTGTTGGGGGGTTCTTGGTGTGTTTTGATTTTGACTCATGGATTCAGGAATTCTGGCATAGGTCGTAGAGAAAGAAGGACAGGTAGTGGCCACAAACCTTCCTATAAACCAGGAATGTAAGCATCTGACTGCTAGGGACGCTATGTACCCTATGGGAGGAAGGAGTCGGCAATATTTGCAGAAAATGTGAAGAGTCAAACATCTTAATTATTCTCCAGGCTTCCTTCCTTGTGGTGGTGTTACAAATTCAAGACACTGTGAGGCCCCAGACCACGTCTTCTCCATTCTTCTTATTTGGGAGCAAATCAATTGGGTAGCTTATTCATTGGCTCTCACTGGGGACCACCAGAAATTTGTGCTCTGATTTGTTGGCTAAGCAGTTGGATAAAATGACTTGGATA